GGGCTAGTGATAGTGCCCACGTGGCCATTGGATTCATCTGTAGCAGAATTTTATAATCAATGCAAAGGGTAAATTCCAAAGATTTACATTTTCCTGTTGCCAAATGCCACCAATTTACGGTCCAGTCAATCAAGCCTTGAATAAAAAGGGTGTAATAATCTTACTTCTCTTTCCAGCACAAATAAACCGAACTTCAAAATCTGGGCACGGCGCTGACGCCGCATTGTCACTGTTGAGACACAGAAGTCCCTCGTTCAAGTCGCAGAGGTGTGCGATGGTCACACCCACACGGTCTCGCAGATATTCTGGGGTTTTCATGGTGTATCTTTCCCTGCACTCAATTCTTACTGGATAAGCGCATCCATCAACAGGATACACCTTTGAAATGGAAAAAAATGAAGGATAAACTTTAAAAAATATTAGCTGAGTGTGTCCCGAACTCCTAGGAAAGTTAAATTTCCCAGAGCTCATATGGAAAAGTCAGACAGGCCTGGGGCATTGGTTAAGTCTCGTAAATAATTTCGAATAGCATTATTTTAAGTTCATACTCTGCATATCAGGCTATTTTTCAAGTAAGGGGGAATAGAGGGAATTTCCGTCTTTGTTCTCGTCTTGAAGTTTGTCTCCAGTTTTTTCCTTTGGGGAAGGGGATTTGTTGAGGGCTCTTAATTCCTAATTCTCACCATTTCACCATGCCAGAGTGAAATAGAGTCAAAGTGAAAGCTGAAAAATGCACAACTTAACATGAAAAACAATCAGTAGCACACTGTAGGAGACTGGAAATCGAGTCACACCTTGTCTTTTTTGCTCACTTCTCAGATTTTAATTTCTGAAGTTGGCAATACTGGTGAACCAAATCATTGATTTCCGGATTTTCGTTTTCTTTCTTCTTTTGATCACATGCATGCACGTCTCTACATGTATAAACACAATTTTTGAAAAAGAGAAAGCAAAACCGGGTTTTGATATTCAAAATAAAACGGAAAGATGAATACCTGTAGCAGGTGTGCTAATGTTTCATTGTCACCGACTGGGTTGTCCCGAGGACTACTGCTGCTTAACCAGGGAGTCCATTCATAAATCAAATCTGTCAGATTACATACACATATCTATCAATGTTTGAAGAGACAAATCTATCAATCAGAGTAAAGAGGCATATCTATCAATCAAGTTACAGAGATAAATCTATCAATCAGATTAAAGAGATGAATATATCAGATTATAGAAAAAATCCATCAAATAGATTAAAAAGACAAATATGTCTATAAGATAACAGACAATTCTTTCCATCAAATTAAAGAAACAAGTCTATCAATACAGGCAATTCACAATTGTGCGCCTCCAAGAGTTTGCAACGCGTTGGCCAATCACAAGGCGCGAAATCTGTCGACCCTTTTCAAACGCGCATTGGGTCAACAGATTTCGCGCCTTGTGATTGGCCAACGCGTAACAACTCTAGGAGACGCACTATTGTGAATCGCCTGTATTAGATTGCAGAGACAAATCCATCAATCAAATAACAAACAAATCTATCACATTACAGAGACGAATCCATCGATCAGATTGATGAGACAAATCTGTTAATCAGATAACAAAGACAAATCTATCAAGCAGATTAAAGAGATAAATGTATCAATCAAAGACAAATTTTTCAGATCAAAGAGGCAAGTTTTTAATGAATGATAATCTCCATCATATGCTTTTGTAACAAAATTCAACACGGCTGAAATATTCCCTGAAATGCAACAAATGTAGTGGTGGATTTTTGGATGAACGCAGTTAGTCAACACATTATAACGGCTCCCTGCCGCATTTATTGGATGCCTATGAATGTTACTCCAACAAACGTTGGACCACTCTTACATTTTGTGACATTTTCTATGAGGACAGAGTGATACCGCTACAGACAAAGTGATAGAGCTTTTCCTATCTGACAAGCATGTTTTTACACTGATTTGCATTTTTGTAAACTTTTAGCCTGAGAAACTAGGCCATACCTATCCAGAACAACAAGCTGGAGCTGGGTGCAGAAGGGCCATATATTGGCCCTTTACTTTTCGCAGTGGTTGCTTGTAATTCCCCTACTAGTGTTTATTGGCCTGCAATTTGGTAACTCTTATTGTTTCAACAACCTCCCGCATGTTTCATGTGTCACTGTCAATTAAAGACCCTATTTAGTTCAGGGTCCCCAATCGAAGACAAAAATAAATTCACCTACAATCTTGACAGCTTATACACTATTCCAGTTGGAGTAATGTAGAGGCTATATCCAAAAAAATAATAAAGTTCCATCGCCGTTATTCATAAAGATCTGCACCAGTGACGTAACTATCATGGGGGAGGTACGTGCCCCCTAGCGAATGCTTTTGTCTCCCGGATGCCCCCCTCCCCCATTTGAAATCCATGAAAACCTCTGCTGCAGCTCATTGTCTTTTGGTGCCCTTGAAAGAAAACGTGTGCTTCCCCGGGTGCCCCGCTCATAATAGCCCTACTTACGCCACTGCACTGAACATTATGGGTCCACATGATATGAATTACTTTCCAAGCCTCCGCGACAGCAAATTGTCTGGCTTTGTCATCCTGGTCACATCGGAGGGTGCTTATCTGTAAACTTAAAGGTTTCCCATGCTGATAAATAGCGGCGCCGTTAATGTGATATCATAACGGAACACACTGTTCATTCTGGGGTTTTCTAATTAAAATATAAACCCAAAATGTGCTCACTTAAGTTTTTATAAGAACACTTTGCCCCTTAGCTTGCCGTTTTTCGTGAAATGAAAACTTATAACCCATGTGAACAAATTTTACAAAAGCAAATGACATTTTGGGGGCGAGATACTGGAAGATGTGACTGTCATTTATGCCTAAGGCATCCATTATGCAAGTTCGCATTTGTAGCAATTTAATAAAAAGGCTCCAAAATGTTCTTCAAATGATAAAACAAAAATCCAAAGTGAATAAAAATGCCTGAAGAATAACGCGGAGAGAAACGTGTAATACACATACATTGATACAGGACACTCTAACACAACGGCAAAATTACCTGCTTCAGCAATATTCCGGGTCTGGTACAGCTGGGCGCTACTCCT